GGCAATCTAGTGTTAATTTAATTTATGAACGAAATAAAAGTGCAAATACTGATTTTTTATAATCTTTCATGCGGGTTTTAAGAATATATTAAAACTGAGATAATATCAACAAATGATAGGTTTCTATATTTCTTAATCTCTTGGCTGAGATCTTACGGCTGAGACAACATTAATCTCGATGCACTATCGATAGCTTTCGGCTATGGTGTAAAGTAAAATAGAAAGCGGCTTTTACTTTACACACGCGTATATTTCGTACAGGTTTATTTTTTCCATGACATTCGACCGAAAAGGAAAATCAATGGTTGTACGCCGCCGATCGATTTCTATCGCGGCGTGTTTCTTTTACAGAATTCACCGTCGAGACGAGTGCGTGATAGAACGCGGGGAACCTAGTTTTCCAAATTATAGTGGATACGCGCGTTCACTTATGGATGAGAGAGGGCCCCGTGCATGAAAATTTATTACGCAACGCATCGATTATTACCGTCCTGGATGTCTCGCTCAAACACGCGTTTTATAGTTCACCCATAATTACTCGTCCCGACCACTGTAAATAGCATGTGAAAGTCACTATACTGGAGATACCCGTTTACCGAGTTTTATGCTTATAATATCGAACTCGAATCAGCTGAATGCGGTTCATGATAAAAATTTAGATGCGGATTATTACTGAATATTAAAATTAATTTTACAACTATTTCATAATACATACATACAATATGGAGGAACTAATCGATGATTGAATGTATCTATAAAATAAGATAATTTTTATAGNGGCAATATAGGTATATACTAAGTTTCAGTCTTTCTAGTGTTAAAAACATGAGGAGAGGACGGTGAACGGAAGTAACGTGGCAGAAATGCAAAGCCGTATTTCATTTTGCAGGGATAACGATAGATCGTCGCTGAATTGTGCTTCTATGCTGAAAGGTGGGTGGTGGTGGAAGTCGTGCGGAAGGGGTTTGAATGGTCTTTACCTGAACGACCCACAGGATTTAACTGCTCGACAAGGTACGTATTTCCTTAAGAAATAGAATATGAATTGCATACGTTAATAGATCAATTTCATGTATAAAAGATATAATCGGTAGAACAATATTGATCTACTTTTCATTTCGTATAAAACGTGTTTAGTGATTATGTAATAATGTGAATTAAAGTGTGTAATACGTAATGTGTATGAAACTTGTAGAGTATCAATTTAATAAATTGTACATTACTTAAGAAAATTATGCCATCACGTTTGTGTCGAAAGTCTCTCGAGTTTGGATAATGATTATTGAGAATTTTCTTTTAAAATAAATCTCGAAATCTCTACTTTAAAATGCTGTCTCAGACAAAATCTAGTAACGTGAATGAAGATATAAAAATATCTGTTTTTTTGTTGTTTTAAGGCATCGTATGGTTCCGTTGGAGAGGATGGGATTACACGTTGAAGCGTGCCTCGATGATGATCAAACCGAAAGGACCAGCTACTGCGGCAGCGACATAAGTGATTTCAGATGATGTGTAAAAAGTCTTAGAAAATAATTAGTGCGAGGCAACGCGCGCAGCGTTCGGTAATACAGAAGGACGCGAGTTCTCAGTTACCAAATATATTCATAAGAATGTTTGGAAACGGCGAAAGAAAAATTCGCTCTCCAGAGAATTTGCGTTCGCGTCCTCGTCGATTTCACTGAATGCAATTTTGTTTGGAGTAAAAAAAAGTATTTATTTCGAGCCAATTCGTTTTCACCGGGACTTAGATCCGAAATTATGTACAAAGCCATTAGAGGTATATTTTAATTAATATTGACATATGAAACAATTCGGCGGGTGGCAAGAGAGAAATGCGAGTAATTTATAGGTCTTCGGATTAGATGACATCGTTAAGTGATGCGATACATGAAACACGGACTGTCATTTGTAAATTGCATCCCGACCCACTTTGAAAAAGAATGAAACAATAAACTCGTGATTTATACTTTTTCAAAGCAGCCATTGTTGTTATTATTATTTTATTCCAACGATTTTACTTATTTTAGTTCTGGACGTTAAATAGTTCCTGGACGATTTATGAGGTAAGTCAACAAATCTATAAGCTAATTTTCAGCCTGAGTTTATAGCTTGACATTTAATAAACTGCAGCTGCAATTAGAGCCAGACGACGATTTTAGGATCCTTCAGTTTACGTAGTTTATCGATTATTCGAATAAACTTTACAAATGCGAATAGTCATTGAGCAAAGGCAATAGTAAACCTAAAACTGAATAATGATATTACGTATTTCAGTACATATTTGAGAATTTCCTAAATAAATGTACGACCATTAGATCAATGAACTTTATAAACACAAGTAATCGTTGAGTAAAAATAATAACAGACCTTAACCTGTTAAGCGTGGAATTTAGTTTTAAAAAGCCCCCACAGTGTGCGGAATTAAAATCAGTCCACCAATCTCTAATGCGGTAACCAAACATGTACATAGTACATGAAACATAAATGGTTGCATTTATCATTTGGCTGACTCCCATTACCCCCTCTGTACAAAATAC